GGTCTCCTTTCACAAATATCATATATTAATTTTTGAAATAAAACAGGGACATTTAAACATATTTCAAGTTTAAGCAACATCAGTAATTTAATGCATAAGTGAAACTAATATACGAATAATAATCTATTCCACCATAAATCGTTTCTCCCAAGTTATTGCGGAATCTCATACTTCCCAAAATTCTTGTAGAAACTATTTCTGATACAATGAACAATAACCCACCACTGTATTCATATCTCTGGTCTGAAGTAAGATCTCGCATGATTACCATTGAAAGTATCCTGGCCCACGTACAACCCACACAAATCCTCCCAAGGATATCTAACCTTTAGGAAGGGCGTATGTCAATACCATGGCAGTGACGTATCCAACCTAAGAGTAGTATACTAACCCTTTTTTCACGATATCCCGTGAGTGATAATGGTTTAGTCCTCGCAAGGCACTAACCCAACTACGAGTGGCAAAAAAAGTTTAAACCCGCACGGAGTAAGAAAGCGTCTACACACTCCATGATACCTGGTCAATAGTAGCCCATGTTTATCCAACAACCACACAAGAGATACAATACCAACAATTTCCTCCAATAACAAACAATTCCATAAATCCCCAATTTCACATGTAGTATTTCAATATAACAATTGAAGAAAATGCAAGAGATCATCATCAATATCATTTTACTACTCAACACAAAACACTAAAGTTTTCGAAACTAAATTTAAGTGAATGTAGAGGGAGAAATTCATATTTCCTAAAAATTAGGGTTTTAAATCAAGAAAAAGAGATTTCATGGGTATTCAACCCTAACTTTGTTTAAAACATAATAATAATTGCAAGAAGACCAAGGAATGATGATTTCATAACATATATATAAGATTTAGAGTCAAAGAATACATATATACAAGCCCTAGTCTCAATGAACAAGAATGGAAGAAAACCCCGACCTTTCTCCTTGGCTTTGGTGTGAAGGACAAGAAGATTTGATCTTGAATTACCCTTAAAACTCTTGTTTTTCCTTTCTCGCTTCCTCTCTAAGTATTTCTATTAGGGTTCTAACAGGTTTGGGGTGAGTGTGGGGGGAAAGAATGGGAGCAAATGAGATGAAAAATGGGGTTTTAAAACGTAAAAATCCTGATTTTTTAACAATATACCCGTAGTTCGTATCGAGCTACCGGTAGTTCGTATCGAGTTACCGGTAGTTCGGGTCCATTGGCCACTTACTACCTGTTGACTATCGGTAGTTTGGATATACTTGAAATTTACTACCTGTTGACTACCGATAGTTTAGATCTACTTGAAATTTACTACCTGTTGACTACTAGTAGCTCCTGTCCAGATTTGTCTATTTCCTCTATGTTTCATTTCAAACTCATTCCAAATCCTTCCAAAACCAACCCAAACTTATACAACATACATTTGTACATCAAACATAATTGGTATAATTTCTATTGCAAACGGTTTCATATATTTACAATTCAAAACTAAGTTTGAACTAAATATTTACCCGATTCTATCTATTAATATTTTTATTTCTACTATTACAATCTACTTAGTTCATGCATACTCAATTACGTATATTAGCATTTCAAAAACATAATTACATTGCCATATTTGATAATACGAATGTGGGAGTTTAAACGAACAATCACCATGTCGAACGGATGCAACCTAGAAGATTTGTAATCAGAAGACACCATAGACATTACTATGAAATTTGGACTGCAGTGAAGAACAAATCTAAACCAATGCGAATTCAAATCTAATGAGTACGAAAATTAAATTTTGATTAAAAAATTCATACTCAATTCGTTAAACGAATTTTCTTAAAAAAGATAAGACTTGGCTACACCCGCACTACACCCATATCCGAGCTCATACCAAACTTGGCCTATATATGCCCATATTAAATTTTTTGTTCAATCAATGCAGGAATAGTGTCAAATCCCACATTACACATCCTCTATTTTCAGAAATTAAGTAGGTCATTTTGGAGCTTATTTTCTCATTCATTTGTTAATCGATTTGAGCAAGTGAATATACTACGTTATTCTATTTTCGGAGTAAAACACGAATCTACGAAAATTTACTCGAAACAATGAGCAAATCCTATTTTAATTTAGGCTCAAAATTGATAAAAAAAATCAAATTTTAATTATTAAGATTTGTTTTAATCCAAAAAAAATTATTAAACATGGATAAAATACTAAAACATGCTTATGATCCACATGTAACTTACTCCAAACTCAAGACCACATTAGAGTTTTGTAGTTATTTTTAAACACCAGGGAATGGAGTATAGATCCGCCTAATCACAGTAGGGAAAAATGAAGTTTGACACTTGGTTGAATATATAACAAACTTAAACAATTAAACATAGCAGGTTCATATATTTTATGGATTTGAACAAAACAAAACAAAACCAATCTCAAACTAAACTCGACATCATGAGTAATACTCCCTCAATTCCTAAATATGTGACGTTTAAGATTTTTGTACATAGATTAAGGAAGCTATTAAATAGTTGTAATATGAGTAAAAAATAATTGTATAAGACTAAAATACCCTTATTCAATTATTCAATAAAAATAATTGTCACTGTTATGAATACGTATTGAGAAGGAAAAAAATATGAAATACACTTAGCCTACACCTAATTTGATGCATTGAAAAGTTAAAAAAATTAATTATTGTGTGCAGTTATTAATGTAACGTCCCAAAACCCACATTGGACGACATTATAATCTAAAAATCATTCACAACACGAGAGCAACTAATAATATTCATAATTAAAATAATTTTATTCATCATTCATAATATCTACAACATTATCCCAAAAGAATATGCCAAACTATGACATCTACATCCCAAAATAATATATATAAACTATGAAAATTACATCTCAAAAGAATCAAGCTTAATCTTGCAGCGCAATGAACAAAATACATCTATTAGTGTACCAAAATATATCCCCTAATTTAAAACATGGAGAGATCAATTTTTGACATCCCCCCTCGGGATCCACGCTTCCATCCAATGACACTTCCCAAGCTACCTGTTTATCACCTCCGAGTTCTTCCTCCATACCGAAATTTGAGAATAAATATTTTTTGTAGGGGGTGAGCGCTAAGCTCTTTAGCAACATTCTCCCAAACTCGAACAAGATTTAGAAAACATGTAAAACAAGTTGGTCTCATTTCGCAATTATCATATATTAATTTTTGAAAGAAAATAGGAACATTTCAATAGATCTCAAGTTTACACAATAACAATAAATTAAGTGAAGTAATAACGCCAAATTATAATTAACAAATCATTTACAACCATAAACCATTTCCCACAAGTTTCTGTAGAATCTCATACTTCCACAAGCTCTTGTAGAAAATCGTTTCTGATACAATAATCCATAAACCCACAATTTGTATTCGTATCTCAGGTATTTTGGTTGCTTCCCATAAATCTACACCACGATTATATCTCGTTCACCCACCACAATCACACAATCTCAAACATTTTAGGAAGGGCGTATACCGTCTCTCACGGCATTGACAAATCCTTCTCAGCCTCGAACTTACGCAGTAATGGTTGCTCTCACAAACAACAAACCATTACAAGTGTTAGGAAACCATCTCACCCCCACTGAGATAGAATAACCTCTAACACTTTACGGCAGTACTCGAATGTAATTCAAGTTCATCACATTAACCATACAAGAGATGCAATAACAAATATTTTCTCAATATCACAAGAAAATTCAAAATTCCTAAATTTCACAATTTGTATTACAAGATAACAATTTAAGAAAATATGCAAGAGATCATCACAAATACTATTTTGTTGTTCTAAACAAAGCACTAGAGTTTGAAAACCAAGCACAAAGGAACATTAATAAGAAAAATCTATTTTTCTCAAAAACTAGGGTTTTCAAGTCAAGAGGAGAAATTTCATAGCTATATAACCATACCTTTGTTTAAAACATGATAATAAGTACAAAAGCGTCAAGAGATAGGGATTTCATAGCATATACTTAGAATCGAGAGTAAAAACATACATAAATATAAATGTCCCAGCCTCAATGTACAAGAATGGAAGAAAACTCCTATCTTGTTTTGTAGTTTGGGAATAAATATAGAAGATTTGATCTTTTTCACTTGAATCTCTTTTGTTTTCCTTTCTTTCTTCTTCTCTAAGGCTTCCTAGGGTTAGAAGGGTTGAAATGTGACTAAAGGAGGCATCATTATGTATTTATAGGGTGAAAAATGAACCTCAGATCGCGACTTAAAATTTATGACACTTACAGAGCGTACCGGTACGCAGTACCGGTACGGTAAACTCTCTGGACAGTAGCGTACCGGTACGGTAACTTCCCGGCGTATCGATACGCAGTACTGGTACGGTCTGTTCAATTTTGTCTGTTTCCTTTGTTTTTCATTTCCAATCTATTCCAAATCCTTCCAAAACCAACCCAAACTTATACAATATATATTTAGACATCAAATATAGTTGGTATAAGTTCTATTACAAATGATTTCATATATTTACTCGGGTTTTACCATATTAACATTTTAAAAAGAAATGAATACTTACTATATAAAAATAAGAGTGTGGGGGTTTACAATTAAGCACTTATTGAAAAATAGGGATCAGGATAAATTTGGAAGAAAAAAATATTAATTCTGCTTTGATTTTATTAAACGTCAGATATTTTGGAATAAAAAAATTATGTAAAACGTCACATATTTAGGAATGGAGGGAATACTATTTAAGTTTGAAAATCTTTCTTCATTTGCTTATCTAGTTAATTATAATTTTTGGATTGATTGTAACCCCATTAAACATTACAACTTACTCTTCATCTAGTGATTTCAAAGAAACTACGTTATTAAGTCGAGAAATGAAGTCAAATTTTTATTTAAAGCTTCACGATAAATGCTCTAAATGACATATTTAAAACTTCTCGATGATCTCTCTTTAATCATTATTATATTTCTCAACGGCGATGGGTATCAGGGAATGGCCGGAAAAGGTCGGGCACGGCATTTTGCTCGGCAAGAATAGATAGTAAACCAACAATCTGATTGTTGCTTCTTTTCACCAGTATAACAACACCAACAATCTATCTCACTAGATCCTTCATGACAAGTGTGTTTGATGCACAAAAAAATATCTACAATGTTGTCTTCAGCGGCTCCGACATTAGAAACATCAGAACCCTCAGTTTGAACATCGCGGCGTTCTCCGATGGTATCGTCACTGCCTGCACTTGCATGAAAATTGAATATCACTTCGAGTTCTCTTCTTTTAGTCTATAGATTACTGTAAGTGGAGATGATACGAAAATTGTAACTGATATTTTTTTTTCTTTTGGTTTCTTGGGCCACTGGCCACTGGCCATTCGCCGGAAGTTTCGGGTTTAATGTTGATATTCTAGCAAAAAATCCAATAAATATAAGTACAGGGTTTTAGGAAACGGAGTGTATGCGGATGTTTATTGATCCAACCAGCGTACATTTACCTGATAACTACGAAAAAAAGCTGTGCATGATGCCGCGAATTACGTCTGAATAAATTAACACAAATGAGAAATCAAGGAAGTCTCAGGCATACTGACACGCATGATTTGTGAATAGAGCAAGGGTGACCAAGCATAAGGGGGCCAGATGTCTGAAGTTAATAGGATAGTAGTCCCAATGGGCGGAGAGAGAGAGAGAGAGAGAGAGAGAGAGGAATACTGATAGCATTTTTATTTGGGCAGTAATTTCTTGCAAGTATTTTTTGGGAAAGAGGGAGGAATAATTTCTTGAAAAGATCCTAAGCCAAAATAAATTAGTGATAGAAGATTGAAATTCTCATATTTTGAAATTCGAAATCATTGAAAGCCAAAATTTTAAATTTTGTTCTATATTTTTAGTTTGTTTTTGAAACATTTCTAAATTGTTTCCAAACTAATTCAAATGATGTACCATAATAAAATTTTGATCCTTATAAACATAATTAGATTCTGTCGTAAACGATTGTGTAATAACATACAGAGGAGGAGGTTTTGTTCATACTCACAGCTGTGAAGAGTAAAGAGGGTAAGTAGGACCAAGAAGAAGAGAACCAGCTGTCCACCATTACCAGTTGCCATGGAATAGATGCAGAATTGGACGACGGTCTTGGTCAGAAAGCCGTTCTTTTATAAACAAAAGTTAGGTTCACAGTTTGGGCAAGTTGATATTACTGTAATCTGTTGTAATATGCATATTGTCTCCAAATTTATGATGGAATTCGAACTTTCACGCTGCCTCTCAGTAGCCTAACTTTCGTGTTTGTATTTTCTCAATATGTCATTCCCTATAGACAAAATCCAAAGGGTTCACGTCCTAAGTATTATTCTCGACTCGTTCTGAGGTACCATGCATGACTAGTCAGTAAAATTTAGTGAATTTTTCCTCTCAGTAATAACGTCACTCAGACCATGTTGGTTTTCGGGTCCATGCCACGTGAGCAACCCAACTCATGGTTCTTAGGGTCCATGGCCCATTGGTAATTTTTTAGGAAAATGAATTTTTTGAATATGAGTAAATTTTTATTTAAGAGAAAGTATATGTATAAGTTATTTACTCTATTAAGTTCAATTTTAATAAAATTTATTGTGATTACATACAAAATTCAAATGACTTTTTATTTATTTTACCTACTTACATTTATTTAAATTATGCATAATTCTTATTCTTTTATACTTTCTCCCCTTTATTTCTGTTACTCTCTCCCTCTGTGTTACTTTCTATCTCTCTCCTATTTTTTTCCTCTCTCTCTCCTATTAATAATTTATTTATTTTTTCAAATATGTAAATATTTGATTTGATTTTGTCATATCTCTATCCTATTTTTTGACTCTCTCTCCTATTTTTTTTCTCACCGTTACTCTCTCTCCTTATTCTCTTTCTTTCTCTGTATATTAACATTACAAAAACACAATTACACCATTTAGTTACATCAATTAATTACAATTGCCCTATAATATACAAAATAGTTACTCATGTATTCTGATAAATCAATTAATTACGTCAAACAATTACACAAAATTACGACACCAATCTAATATGTCATTCAGTTACACGACACCAACCCAATTATATACACCAAATTTAGGTGGAAATATAATTCGAAAGGCAAAGTGTTTATGAATGTAATTTACTAAAATGTAGATTATGAGAATTTGACATATGATATTTACTTAAGCACATAAATTTTCTTCCATATTTTGGATTTTCAATATTGATTGCATTTTGACTCTCCCAGTTTTCACATTGTGTTTTTATGGGAACTAGCTACTGCCCACGAGTGCTGCACGTGGTCTAATGCGATTTGTAATTTAATTTTTTATTTTATTGTTAAACTTTGTGTTCACATTTGAGTATGTGTTTATAGATGTACTTTTTGTTAAATGACAAAAATTGAACCAGAAAAGAAAGATATACAATACTACTTACCTCACCATTTATGACGTAAATTATCTAGTACGCGCTCCAAAAAAATATTTATTTATTCACCAAGCTAAATTTCACTTTGTAACGATTCAATTCCTCACGTGAACACATTTTTTTTATGCTCCGTTTGATACGATGAAAAAATGAAAAGATGAAAAATTGAAAGGATGAAAAGTTGGAATGATAAATAAAATATCATGTTTGGTAAGGAAGGAAAATAGGAAGGATGAAAAAGTTGATGAATTAACTTTCCTTCCAACTCATCAAAATCAATCCCTCCAAAATCGAAAAGAAAATGGATAGAAAGTTAATTATTTGTGTTGAGATGCATCTTATTTTTTTTTGATAAATTGTTGAGATGTATCTTATTTGCCTTTATATTATGTAGACATTAATTTCATATAACAATAAAATAATAAAATATATATTTATATATATATTTTAAAAAAATTTAAAATAAAAAAATAAAATAAAAAATATAAATATAAAAAAAAATTTAAAATTAAAAAAATATTTTTTTCATCTTAATTAGGGGTAAAAATTTTCGACTCAATACGATGATTCGAACTTGACACTAATTTTATGACATGAACTTGAAAATGACTTGAATAGTGAATCGCGAACAAAAAATATAAAAGACTCATAATTTGATGATTCAACACGAATCTGACACTACACGATTCGACTCTCACCCCTAATCTTAGCTACCACAAAAAAAATTAGTCATTTTTATTTTCCATCTATCCAATTAAACACAAAGGAAGGAAAGTGTATCATTCTTACTTTCAATTCTTGAAGACTAAAAAGTGTATCCCTCATATTTTTCATCTTTCTTACTTTTCATCATTTCTATTAAACGGAGCATTAGAGTGTCTCGATCAGATCATCAAATGCAACGTCTTCTATCCCAAATTGACTACATAATTTGAGCCAAACTGAAAATTAACCGTAGGAAGCAAATATAATCCATCACATAGGCATGTACTTCTATATAAAACAAGTTTGAGTTAAATCAGTTCAACCTGTTATAATAATTATACCAAAATAATTGTTCATTCTTTGACATTTTAATATTTTTATTTTTCTCCAATCCTTCTTTCTTATCTTGGTCATTATCTGGAAAGAAACCAAGGAAAGAGTAGTTAAAAGGTGAACACAATGTAAAACAGAAATGGATTGTAAACACTATAAAACACAAATGGTGAAAATGAACAACAATCCTTAGGGTCCAAGGAAGGCATTAATATGATAATGAACAGACTCGATATTTAGTTAATGATCATACAGTAGTCGGTGACATTAAATCAGTGGGAGCAAAGATAAGGCTCATACGTCAAAAACTCAAAAAAGAAGTTGAAAATTATTGAAGATATTCTAGAATCCTCTCCTAATGGCAGTAATGGAGCATAAATCATGAAACCTCATAAAAGGAAAGCTAATGGCAGTAATGGAGCTTAAATCATGAAACCTCATAAAAGGAAAGCTACACCATTCTGGACAGATCCATGCACAAAATGTGATGCTAAAATTACGGCAGTTAATGATGTAGATTCTTCCACTAATTGTACCGTCTATGATTACCCAATCTTTGCCTTTAATTATGTACAAATTCTAGTATATATACATGCATAACCTATGACAATTAGTGTGATGGGAAATACAATTTCTATCTTATACACCTTTTGTCTTTTCCTCTCTCCTATGGCATCAAAGCACGCAAAAAGATTAACCGCCATTTCCATTCCATTGGCTCAGCACCTTATTCTATAGTAGTTCGCTTGAATCAACATATTCGTCTTTATCTTGATTGTCTATTGTAGGTGAAGAGCAAGACTTGAATTGTTCTCCTCAAAAGAATCACTTCACGTGATCATACTTATTTTCCAGCCTACTTTGCACTTTTGTCATGTCTTCTTCAAGTGAATCAACTGATTCTACCCAGTTAGCACAACCGGAGCCTACTGCTCCTCCCATCATTGTTATCAACCATCAGATCACAATCAAACCTTCATTAGATAATTTCTTGCTTTGACAAGCACAACTTGCTCCATGCCTCAGTTGACAAGTTTGAGAAGCCTATGATACCCAATCCAGCCTATGATTTGTGGATCCAACAGGGTCAAGTTATTCTGTCGACACTTTTATCATCCCTTTCAGAAATTTTTTTGGCACAAGTGGCCGGCCGGCTTTACCACTTCGCATGAAATATGGACGACTTTAAATCGTATGTTTTCCTCTAATTCTCAATCATTTATACTCCAGATTCGATATCAACTCTCCACCTTGAAAAAGGGTAGAGTATCCATTATTGATTATTATCACAAATCCAAAACCCTTGCCGACACTTTAGCTGCAATTGGCCAGCCTCTACATAATTTTGAGGTGGTGTCTTATCTCTTGGCTGGCCTTGATTCTTCCTATGACTCTTTAGTCACCTTTGTTACCATGAGAATCGATCCCACCACATTAAAAGATCTTTATATTCATCTTCTTAGCCATGAACTCCACATTAAGCAACAAAATACCAGCCATGAAATTTATTTTCCCTTGGCCCATGCTGCTACTCAACACTCTTTTTCTCAAGGAGATGGTGCTCAACCTCCATCGCAAGCCCAATATTCTCATCAAGGGAATAATCTTCATCAAGGGCGTGGACATGGGCGTAATGTGACCCATAATGGCAATTCACGCCTGATTTGTCAAGTTTGCTAGAAAATTGTACATATTGCCTTGACTTGTTATCATTGTTTTGATCACTCCTACAAGAGTGAGTCCAAAAATATGGCTGCCGTTTTCACTGCCCGTCCATCTCACTTTGATGCCAATTGGTACCTTGATTCAGGTGGAATGAATCATTTGACATCCGACATCAATAATCTTAAGTTGTATGCTGAAGAGTATCAAGGAACGGATCAAATCCGCGTTAGTGATAGAATAGGTTTGGACATCAAGCATGTTGGTTCTTCCAATTTCCTTACTTCCTCTATTTCTTTTCCATTAAAAAAAATGTTCTTCACGTTCCTTCCATTCAAAAAAATCTTGTTTCTATTAGCCAATTTACTCATGATCATAATGCTGTTATCGAATTTTACTCTAACTATTTTTTTGTGAAGGACGAAGCACGGGGAAATTTCTTCTTCAC